ATTCCAAAAAATGCCCGCATATAAAAACCACCTGAAAAAAAAAAAAAAAAAAAAAAAAAAAAAAAAAAAGTGCTCGTACAAAATGGAGCTAACATGGAGACAGTGGACATAAATGGATCATCGAGCCTCTGGATAGCATCTCATTGTGGCCACGATCAAGTAGTTTTGTATCTTTTAAAAAATGGTGCTAATCCAAATTCACAAGCCGATGATCAGACAACAGCGCTTTATTGGGCGTCATATAACGGTCGAGTCAAATGTGTTTACTATTTAACGCACTTCAAGGCTGATCCGTCACAGACAAAGAATACGGGCGCCAGTGCTTTGTTTGTTGCTGCTCGAAATGGACATCATCGGATAGTGAAACACTTGCTAAAATGCGGCGCAGATGCAAATCTCTACCAACAAGATATGCGAAGCCCTATACACACGGCTCTTCTTTATCACCGAAAACGATGTATTAAATTTTTGTTAAAGTGGAATGTTTGTGTGAAGAATACCGATATGTATGGCTGGTCTGTTCTTCACTTTGCAGCTAAATGCGGAAAGCTCAAAGCAGCAAGAATTATTTTAAATCATCTCAGACACTGTAATCTGCTAGATACGGATGCGTCGGATAATCTCGGAAACACTTGTCTTCATCTGGCTGTTGCTTATGGTAACTATAAGCTAGCCTGTTATTTTATCTCAAAAGGTTTCAATATAAATAAGCAAAACATTCATGGCTGGTCGCCATTATACGGACGAGGAACAGCTAATAAAAGAGGAAGTAGAAACATACGTCAAGCGCCTTCTGATCCATGTCGAACACTTGAATTCCGTATTCAAATGTGAAATAATTCCGAGCGGTAGTTTCTATGAGTACACCCGTGTTGGTTTTCCCAATGAATTCGATTTTATGATTAATCTCATTTGTTTTGGAAGAATATGTGAATTTCAACAACTCGAAGAGGATCCAGCTGGCTTCGGTCGATTACTCGTAACCAACGATAAGGCACACAAAGAACTAGAGCAGTATATTGAACCGATAACTCAATGTTTATCTTCCGAAAAGATAAAAAAACGCTTTCATCAACTGTTGACATCAGCAAGAAGTCACGTAATACGAAAAGAATCAATGAACTTGTTCAAAAATTTGAAAATGCAATGGACAAGTGGAGACAAACGATGTGGTACTGCTATCCATGCCGAATGGTGCGGATGTCAGTATGCTCATTTAACAATCAAAATTGATGTGATTCCATGTATCACTGTACCTGGATGGCCGTCGTCAGCCAACATTCCATGTCCTGCAGGCATTCTTAATTTTCATGTAATTGCAAGAAGCACAAAATTCAATTCGACCTATCTATGGCGAATATCCACAACAACAGCGGAAGTCAACTTTTTTCAAAACGTATCGTTGAAAGAAAAAAAAATTGGCTACATCGTCCTCAAAGCAATAAGAAACTCAATTTCCTATCCACCTGTTACTGTTAAAGGAGTAACGTACGGTGTTGAGGATTTATTAACATCCTACACGCTAAAAATGGAGTATTTTTACGAACTGAATAAGCATCCAAATAATCGTGACTGGATAGGAGAAAATTTTCCACATCGTATCATGTCAATATTTAAACGAATATCTAAAGATATTAACTTGGGTACGATCAAATCGTTTTATATTAAAAACTATAATATATTGGATTGCGAGGAATTCAACTTGTTGCGTACACACGAACTCAAATATATACACTCAATTAAGTTGCATTTAAAAAATATGATAAACATGCAGCAATCGGCTAGAATGATAAGAAGTAACAGTTGTGCAACAGACTCTGTAATCAAAACTGTTCAGCTGAAAAAGCGATCTCAAAGTATTATCTAAAGTTTTTCTTGTGTATATTTTCTTGTTGTACATTCATAATACAGATGCATAAAAAAGTTTAATTAACACATCGTTTGAAAATGATAGGTAATCTTGAATAAACTCTTCTTTTCCATATAACACATTCAAACTCTTGTGTTCATAGTCACCACTTCTACCTTTTCGTTTTCTTTGCATTTTTGCCAACACAGTTTGAAAATATTTGATATAACCGAAGTTAATTAGCTTCAAAGCAGATGATTGTTAACTTAATTAGCAGTTTCATAGCGTGTAACGTAAGTATTGGAAGAATCTTTTGAAACCATTGAAAATTAAAGATGAATAGAACACTTAACTTATTTTGTTGTATGAGATTAACGAATAACCAATTAAGTTAACGAATGATTTTAACGAAACAGTAAGCTGAGAAAATGGTAGATGAGTCTGACGTCATTGTTGTTCAATAATGTTAGCACTAAAATACCACGATTACATTTCGAAAAAAAATTTATTTTTAATTCTAATCAGTTTCGACTACTAAACGTTTACTTCGAAAATTGTAAGGTGCCGGCAATTCAAAAGAAAAGCAAAATTTTTTTTTATTTTTTTGTCATTAGATCGAGCCCATCGAGTTACCTAGAAAAAACTGAAACGTGGATTTTTGAAAGTCTTTTTTCATTTAAAAAATTTTAAAATATAGACTTTTTAAAAATGGGCAAAATTCAGCCAAATTTTGAAAAAAAAAGCAAAATTTCAGGATTTATTGTCTTTTTAAAATTTTGGTACTATTTTTTTCTGATTTTACATACAAAATTGAATATAAAAAGTAATTCAGATACTTTTAGAACCTGAACGGACGACTGAAATCGCTGAAGATCGGGCAGAACGGCTGGAACCCCACCCGAACTTCTTGTAAGTCTATCTGTTTTTTCTGATTAGCAGTTAGGCAAGTTTTTTTCTCTTTATTCAAGTCATCACACTAAAAATTTAGCATCAGTTTTGGAAAATATTATTGCTTTGTTGAGAAAATTAATTTTGATATGTGTGTGTTAGGATTTTTTGGCAACTTTCATTTTTTTTCAAACGTTTCAACCGAGATTTTTGTGGAAAAGTTCGAAAAAATGACAGTTGCCCAAAAATCCTGAGACACACATTAATCAAGTCAGCTTTTGATGCTGATTCCAAACATGACATTGGTTTTACAGAAAGAAAACAATGAAAATTTAACAGTGAAAACTGCAAAACAGGCGTGCGCGATTACAATTACAAAATGTAAAGTTTAAACATTGCTATTACCTGTAGAATTAAGAATTCTAGAATTCTGAACTTTACTTGTTCAGAATTCTAAAATTCTTAATTCTAGGGGTGAGTGTGAGGGTGAGCGTGAATATTGAGAGCTGTCCAATTATCGTTATCAAGATAATGCGTATACACCGCTGCGCGCTCTTTACGATGCGATAATCTAACTCACAGCATACATTTAGAGTAAAATTTAAACTAATAAGAATTCAAGTAAATACGGCATACAAGATAGTACGAACGCGGGGATTTAAAGGATTCGGAATTTAAGAATTTAGGAATATAAGAAAATAAGGATTTAAGGAAATAGGGGAAATTAGAATTTGAGGAAAAAGGAAGAGAAAGTGTTTTCTTCACAATGTTTTCGAGGATTTTTCGATGGGTTTTTGTGAAGATATAAGCGTCACGGTAAATGCGCTGAAAAAGTGACCTGTGGACAAAATGCCTTTTCCTCTAAAAGTATTTTTGTTGCTGCCGGGCTTCTTTGCTACGCATTACGACTCGCCTTCA